AGTAGTTGGGCGTGACGATCTCTCTGGGGTGAGGGAGTTTGTGTGGCTGCAGCGGCAGTTGACGGCCGGACCTGCCGGTGTGTGACCTACAGTGTCCCGCCGGCGACTGCCCGCAGGTTAATTTTATTCACACGAGCACGGGTAGGGTGGATGGCCTAGCCTCCCAGGGCAGTTTTGTCGTAGTAGGTTTGAACTGTCCTGTGGTGTTAGGTGTAGTTTAGAGTTAGTTTTTCGTCGACTAGTGTCGCTGCTCCACCACCATGTGTGTGGTCTGGTGTTGTAAGCCCAAAATTGTTTGTGTGTTGGAGCTTGGTGCTCCGCATTAGTGGGGTCACAGGGTTGCGTGTGTGTGTTCCCTAGGTGATTGCCTTACATGTAGGGGATTGATTTTCTCAGTAGCACTTCCGGTTGCCTGGGCGGTCTCCCAATATTGTTGAAATGGGCCATGTGGGGGTCGTGTAACTTGTCTGGCAGGTTATTGCCTAGGCTTGTGAGCGGGCGGGGTGGGGGACGCGTGGGAGGGCAGGATCATATCTGCTGCCTAAAGTAGTGGGGTGGTTGCAATTCTCTGTTGTGTAGTCATGTCGTGCTTGTTTAGAGTGGGGTGGGCATATAGTTTGCAGGTTGTGATTGACCGCAGTTCAGCATTTCCTTATATACAGTGCATCTGTTAAACAGTCTTCCATTTCCCCCTTTTTTTTCTCTTCCCTTTCCCCTCCTCCCCCCCAGTACTCCTCTTTTTCTTTTCACATTCTTTTCACATTCCCTCTCCCTCTCCCCCCCTGCAACGGTTTCCCTCCCACACCCACCCCCCCTCCCCTAACTGGTTATGGGTCTCCCTGGTGTCCCATTCCCTCCACGGTGCTTCTCTGTCCTTCTCTGCCCTTTTGGTACTTGGATTGGGCAGTGTTACTTTAAATATCTTGGCAGGGGTAGCCGGGTTGTGTTCCGGGTATGACTGTGGTTGTGGTGGTGGTTTCTCCCCTCAGGCCCCAGCTGCAAGTTATAGCCAGCCCTAACAGGTAAATTCTGTAGTGGCAGAGGTCCTAATCCCCAGATCTCATGTCCCCTTTCCCTCTTGTCCCCCTCCCAAAGACCTGGAACTCCAGGCAGATGACATTCCCCCCGCCCCCTTTGATGTGGCCGAGAGGTGATGTATGAGAGGGGTGGTACTCACAGGTGGATTGAGGCTGTGGGTTCCGGGTGGGCAGGGGGCCCGGGTCCATGGTCCTTGGTCATCGTGGGGACTTGAGGCGGGTAGCCGAGTCTCTCGGGGTACCAAACGGTCGTCTATTCTTCTGTGTTGGTTGGGTGGGCAGGTGGTGGGTGCTGGTGTCTCTCCTGCGAGTTCCTTTGAGGGCGTCTGGGTGGTCTTTGAGCTGGTGTAGCCCGATCCAGGGGTTCCAGTATCCAGTCTCGGATCGGAATGGGTTGTAGCCCCAGGCATTGCAGGACGGCTGGTATTTCTTCTGGTCCATGCGCCGCTATCCACTCATTGCAATGGCGAGCTTGGATGCTAAATGGGAAGCCCCATTTGTAGGGGATGTGTCTGTCCCTTAGTGCTGCAGTGATGGGTCTCAGCGCATTTCTTGCTTCTAGGGTCACCGGCGAGAGGTCCTGGTATAATGAGACCTCGGAACCCTGATATCTCCATGTGCTACGTGATCTTGCCAGCCGCATTATTCGCTCCTTGAGTTGGTAGGAATGGAGACAGCATATGATGTCTCGAGGGTCCCCTTCTCTTAGTCGCGGGCAGAGAGCTCGGTGTGCCCTGTCAAAACGGATCTCCGCCGGTGTCTCCTCCCCGAGGATTAGGTGGATTATCCCAGTCAAGAGCTCTTCCACGTTTTCACCCTCTTCCGGTTTAGCCATGCCGCAGACCCTAATGTTCGAGTGGCAAATTCGATTATCCAGGTCCTCTACCTGGCGCCTCAAGGAAAGGAGCATGTTGCCTTGTCTGGCTATGGCGTTATCCGCAGCAGTGGCCTGATGGTGCGCGGTCTGGGCCTGTGTCTCCAGCGTGTGGATGCGGCCTTTCTGCGTGTCGACCTCAGTTTGGAGAGCAGAAACTGCTGAGGTAATGGAGGCTGTAAGGGAGGTTGCGAGCACTTGGAGGTCACTTTTGGTGACCATCGCCGCCGCCAGCCTTCTGATCTCCGATCCTATGTCTGCCAGCGTGGTTTGGTCTGGTTCGGAGCCAGTAGAGGCAGGAGACATCGGCACCATGTTGGAGCTGTGCGCCTCGTGTGTAGGCCCAGACGGAGTTTGGAAGTATCCATCCATCGGTCCCGATAGTAAGGGTGGGGGCGCCCCCCTGGGGGTTTGCGGGTTGTCTTGCCGTTTAGTGCGCCCCATTGGGTTTCAGTTTTTGGGCTTAACTTGCTGTTAGTAGCTTGGTGGTCAGGAGCTCAGGAATTAGGCGTCCATTTAGCTCGGAGTCTAGGCCACGCCCCAGAAAATTAATTACTTAGTCTTATCTGGTCATTGGTGTCTGGCTTTCTGAGAAGCTGTGAGACATTTTCTATTTCACTAATATTTATTAAATAATATGGTATATCTTCATGAATATTTATCCATGAATGGTCTATATTATTAACATAATACTGATTATATGTATTTAATATAATAGTAAATAAGTGTATAATGGTTATATATATATATATATATATATATATACAAGTGTATATAATGTATATATTTGTCTCTGGACTTAGTAATCCATCCCCCATCCTTGCTGGGAGACTTTATTGCTTTATTTACATAAAGCATTCCTAAGCTCAGCCTGGTTTGGCTAATTACAGAAGGCATGGAATTTAGTCTATGAATAAGCACTATAGAAGTTACCAGACATATTGTGTACTCACATAATTTCTACTGCCTGTGTGTGGAATGAACATTTTTGAATATTTTTGTACCTGTAAGAGCTTTGAACTTTACACTTAGTACAATCAACCATAATATCATTATTATCATTGTAAATTGTTTTAATTTGAAAATTGTTTTCGGGAGTTACATATGGTACGGCCAATAAAAAGCAAATCTCCATACGTTCCGAATCAATTAAGAGAGGTATGGCACTTCCCATCTCAATGGCCAGATTTAATTGCATAGGCTCAATTGTTTCTCCATCCACACTGGCAAGCATCGCATGAACAATATCCTTGGACACAAAATACAGAGGTATGTGTCCCCCTGCCAATTCAATCATTCCAGTTTGCACTTCATCAAGAAAAGCAGGTGTGTGGAACAATATAGGGTCATGCAGAAATAGAAGTTCACACTTAAATACAGTTGCAAGAAAAAGTATGTGAACCCTTTGGAATGATATGGATTGCTGCACAAATTGGTCATAAAATGTGATCTGATCATCATCTAAGTCACAACAATAGACAATCACAGTCTGCTTAAACTAATAACACACAAAGAATGAAATGTTGCCATGTTTTTATTGAACACACCATGTAAACATTCACAGTGCAGGTGGAAAAAGTATGTGAACCCTTGGATTTAATAACTGGTTGAACCTCCTTTGGCAGCAATAACTTCAACCAAACGTTTCCTGTAGTTGCAGATCAGACGTGCACAACGGTCAGGAGTAATTCTTGACCATTCCTCTTTACAGAACTGTTTCAGTTCAGCAATATTCTTGGGATGTCTGGTGTGAATCGCTTTCTTGAGGTCATGCCACAGCATCTCAATCGGGTTGAGGTCAGGACTCTGACTGGGCCACTTCAGAAGGCTTATTTTCTTCTGTTTAAGCCATTCTGTTGTTGATTTACTTCTATGCTTTGGGTCATTGTCCTGTTGCAACACCCATCTTCTGTTGAGCTTCAGCTGGTAGACAGATGGCCTTAAGTTCTCCTGCAAAATGTCTTGATAAACTTGGGAATTCATTTTTCCTTTGATGATAGCAATCCGTCCAGGCCCTGATGCAGCAAAGCAGCCCCAAACCATGATGCCCCCACCACCATACTTCACAGTTGGGATGAGGTTTTGATGTTGGTGTGCTGTGCCTTTTTTTCGCCACACATAGTGTTGTGTGTTTCTTCCAAACAACTCAACTTTGGTTTCATCTGTCCACAGAATATTTTGCCAGTACTGCTGTGGAACATCCAGGTGCTCTTGTGCAAACTGTAAACGTGCAGCAATGTTTTGTTTGGACAGCATTGGCTTCCTCTGTGGTATCCTCCCATGAAATCCATTCTTGTTTAGTGTTTTACGTATTGTAGATTCGCTAACAGGGATGTTAGCATTTGCCAGTGACTTTTGTAAGTCTTTAGCTGACACTCTAGGTTTCTTCTTCACCTCATTGAGCAGTCTGCGCTGTGCTCTTGCAGTCATCTTTACAGGACGGCCACTCCTAGGGAGAGTAGCAGCAGTGCTGAATTTTCTCCATTTATAGACAATTTGTCTTACTGTGGACTGATGAACAGCAAGGCTTTTGGAGATACTTTTATAACCCTTTCCAGCTTTATGCAAGTCAACAATTCTTAATCGTAGGTCTTCTGTGAGACATGCCCTTTTGTGTGAGGCATCATTCACATCAGGCAATGCTTCTTTTGAAAAGCAAACCCAGAACTGGTGTGTGTTTTTTATAGGGCAGGGTAGCTGTAACCAACACCTCCAATCTCATCTCATTGATTGGACTCCAGTTGGTTGACATCTCACTCCAATTAGCTCTTGAAGATGTCATTAGTGTAGGGTTTCACATACCTTTTCCACCTCCACTGTGAATGTTTACATGGTGTGTTCAATAAAAACATGGCAACATTTCATTCTTTGTGTGTTATTAGTTTAAGCAGACTGTGATTGTCTATTGTTGTGACTTAGATGATGATCAGATCACATTTTATGACCAATTTGTGCAGAAATCCATATCATTCCAAAGGGTTCACATACTTTTTCTTGCAACTGTAAGTCATGACTTTGGTGCAACTCAGTGGATTTGGCAATTAACTCGGAATGCAAATTTGTTGTAACAATTGTGTCTTGCACAATAGTTAACACATCGTCCTGTGCTCTTTCCAAGTCTGTAACTCAGGAAGCTGCATCGATGAAATGTTGTATGCCTTCTCGATGGAAATCTTGGGGTGCAAGCTGACGAACACACTTCGGGTCAGGATCCTCTTCTCTGTCAAGATGAACCCTGGTGTCTCTTGAATCAGGATGCCGGAGGATGGTCCCATCTCTGCGATCGGGTCGGTCTGTAACTCTTGGCACAGGACATCTTTTGACAGTCACGGATCAGGAACTCATTTCAGACTTATCTACTAATGATTCAAGGTTTGTTAAGCATACAAACTTATAACAGTATGACATCACTTGGCCTAGGACAACGCATTATTACGATTCATCAACATATGTATTCTGTCTAATTATATTTTTATAACTTCATCCCTCACTACATTTATTACTGACTCCTCAGCAATATGCCTATAGCAGTTAAACACTGTCACTACTTTTTCTAGATTCTTTTGGGCAAAAGCAAACGCATGCTGTACTGATGCGTAGTGGCAGCATTGATCAAGTTATGATCCGAAGTACGATATAGTAAATGCTGTGGTAAAACCATCTTTCTTCCTGTCATCAATTCAAAAGGTGACAATTTGGTAGCAGTGCTAGGTGTAGCTCTAATCGTCATTAAAACTAGGGGCAATTTAATGTCCCACTCTTTACCAGACTCCTTAACATACTTCTTCAGAATATTAACGATAGACTGGTTATATCGCTCTACCCCCCCCGCTAGACGCAGCACGGTATGCAATATGTAGCTTTCGTTTAACACCTAGAATTTTCCACATCTTAGCCATTACTTCGCTGGTAAAATGAGGCAGACAATTCTTTGAGGCAGACCGAACCTGGAAAAGACATGGTTAATCAACAAAGTGGTGCACACGGTACTCACGGTACTCGTGTTCTCTTTACAAGGCAAACACTCTATCCACTTTGTGTACATACATGTAATGGTTAACATGTATTTGTTACCTCATGAAGATCTTGTTACAGGACTTATAAAGTCAATCTGAATATCAGACCAGGGTAATGACACGCCCTCTTCTGAAGTGGTGCACATGGGGTTGATATTGCGGACAAATCAAGCATCCCTGACAGTATGTCTTAACATCTCTTATGTGTGACCAAAATGCATAATCATGCAATATCTCATATGCGATCTTATCACCATGATGTCCAGATGCAGGTGCATCATGTGCGTGTGGGAGCATTAACCCTCGGTATACAGTTAGGACTACCCATTGTTGTGTACAATGTTTTGAAGTTCTGACCAACAACCCATCCATGATACTAAATTGGACTTTATATCTCATCAAGATTCGTAAATCTTCATTATCTTTCCAATCCTCATCTGTGAATATGCCGGGATCATTCTTTTGACTGGTAATCAGGTCCTCACTAGGAGCTTCTTGACTAAATTGCACAACATTTAAGTCGGCATTATCTCTATCCCGTCGTCTAGTTATGGCTTCAAAATGAATTGAACCCATAAGGTCGTCAATGTTTAGGGTTTAACCCTTGGTGGCTGCTTGTTTTGTCAGTGAATTGGCTAAATACCTTGTATTTTAGAATGGCCTTCGGTTTTCTTCCAATATATGGTTAAACCATTTTCCTTAACCAGTTCATCGATTTTACAAAACAATTTCACATGTTTAAACGGGTTGTTATTGCTTTTCAGCATTTGGTTACGTTTCCAGCTAGGTAGATATTCGATGAAACTGTTGCGAAACATAGTTGGAATCAGTTATGATAACGAATTATTCGATACCCTATGCTATTGCCATTTGAATGGTCTTATATACTGCACAGAGTTTGGCTATCTGACTGCTTTTGGAACCAATATTGTATTCTATAGATACATTGGGATAATCACCTATCCAGGCGATTCCGATCCCTGCAACTAACTTCCGTTCAGCACCAGCGGCATGGTGATATGAACAACCATCAATGTATACCCACGGTAGTGGTCGACAGTATTCCTCGTCATAAACTTTATAAGGGGATAGCAATTGCTCTTCTAGGAAGTAATCTCCGGTGTCATTATCATCCAGAGATGGAGCAGTACAGTCATGTAATTCTGCTAAACCTTGGGCAACTGGGTTTCTCTTATTGTGTTTATAACGGACTTCTAACGGCCATCCCTGTAAGGATAGAGTCCATGATTCTTTCACTCTGCAGATACTGTAGAGGTTGGTGAGCTGATTCTACAATTATTTTCTCACCTTGGATATAGCTACGAAAATTTTGTAGTGCCCAGACAGTCGTCAATAATGCCTTCTCACACGTGTTGAATTTAACTTCAACAGGTGACAAAGTCTTGCTAGCATATGCAATAACTTTGTTTAAACTGTCCTGCTTCTGATACAGAACAGCATGTATGCTTAAATCAGTATATCCTGTCTCCAGATAGAAGGGTTTACCCCCTCTGGGTATGCTAAACAGGGTGCCTGAGTGAGCTTCCTCCTCAGTCCATTTACTTCTTGGTCCTGAGGCTCCCCCCAGTTCCAGGTAGTTTCCTTTTTAAGCAGGTGTAATACTGGTTTTGTTATTTCTGCATAGTTATCTATAAACTTACGGGAGTAGTTAGTCATACCAAGGAATGTTCTTAATTCCCTGTTGTTAGTAGGTGTCTTAGCCTTTAGTATGGCTTCAACCTTCTTCTTCTGTGGATTTAATCCTTTAGAAGTTACCTCATGTCCGAGCAAATTGACATGGGTGCGACACCATTGCGCCTTTTGCAAAGACAGATTCCTGCCTCTCTTAACTGAATGAGAACATGTCTAATATCTATGATATTCTTATCAAAGGAAGTGCTTTTAAGCAAGACATCGTCGACATATGATAACGTTCCTCTCTCGAGTGCGTCAGGCATAGCTTTATGCATGAACACAGCGAATTCATGACCAGAGTTTGTATTGGTCTTCATCATGGACTGGTACAGTCCAATATCCCTGCGCACAGTCAATAGCAGTGAATATTTTGGATCCCTGCATTTGTACCAAACATTGGTCTATGTATGGCACTGGCCAATCAGACATATAGACGCGTTTATTTAGCTGTCGTAAGTCAGCAAATAAATGCCATTGTCCATTAGATTTCAGAATCCCCAAGATCGCATTATTATCCGAACTGTGCACTGGATGTATAATGCCCCTTTCCTTTAAATTCTGAATGATGTCTTGTAGACCATCATATGACGTTAATGGGAGTCTATATTGTTTGATAAATACAGGTGGTAAATTTGGATCAGTTTGTATTCTGGCTACGTGGAGGTTAGTTAACCCACAGTCGTAGGAATCTTTGGCAAAAATATCTTGGAATTCCATTAGGATTTCCTTTAGCTGTTGCCGCTCAGCATCGTTGGAGCAACCGTCAGCTAAAGATATTTGCTCTTCTAGCCTTTCCTGAAATCCTGGAAAGATTTCAGGCTGGCCTATCTCATAAGCTTCTTCAAGCCTAGAAGCTAGGTCAGTTCGGTGTTGACTTACCTTTTCTCTTTGGTCGTGATACTCTTGTGATTCCTGCTCATTGAGCGGATGATCGAAGGTGATTGATGCTTCTTCGATTTTACATGAGCCTTCTTCAACGTTGAAGGGATATACAGATAGGATAGTGAATAATCCTTCTGGGGAGGAATGGAATATTTGATCGACAATTTCATCCTCAGTTAAGTATTCTTCAGGGATGAGGCCTATAATTTGGTTTTGGAAACCAAATGTATAGTACTCCGCATCCAATGCTAGACCTAATAATGTTCCTTTTGGTAAAGTAACACTGTTGGGTGTAACATTGTTGACCATTATATAGGTGGGATTCTTACCAATACTTACCATTGGTATATGTGTTACCACCATCCCTAATTTTTGTATCCTGTTGGATAAACAGATTAGGACATCAGAGTTTTCCAATCTCTGACCCTTCTTGACCTGTAGAGGTAAAAGAAAGTTACTTGTCCCTTATGGAATGGTTATGTCATCAGGTACTTGGTGTCACGTATTCATCCGCTTATAGAAATGTGGTTAATGACATTTACTGTCTACACAGGAAAAGTTGTGCCGAGCAGCAACCTAATCCACAGAAGGGTTAATGCTGAGCAGCAGTTATGCAAATGAAACCTGGTAACTGACTTTGGGGTCAAAGGCCGGTTACAGCCTATCAGAACTAAACTTTAGGCCCAGTTCTCAGCCTGCTCAGTGCCCTGTCGTAGTTTCCCTTTTGGTTGTCCGAGAGCGCGTTCCTGTTTATAGTTTTCTACCTGGTTTTTGACTTTGGCTTTGTTTATTGACTTCTCTATATTCTGGTATCCTGACTCCTGGCTTTCCTCATCGCTGTGTCCCTTTCTGTGTTCCCTGACCTCGCTAGTATTTTTGACTATTCTTTGTACGTTAAATCCGGCCATTCTAAGGACCGGTAATACGTTACTTATTTGTCATCCGTGCTGTACAGTTCTACGTGCTGGATCAAACAGTAATCCTGACATTACGGCATGGCCATAGATCCTGTAGAACTGTGTCAGCACATAACTGCTTGCGAGAGGAAATTAGAGGAGAATGATCACCGCATGGATCAATTCGCTCAGGCTTTCAGTACGCTTCTCGCTAGAACGGAGCATCTGCAGCTTGCAGCATCTCCTCCTATAGCACCTCTACCCTGTGTACCTCCACCCACTGTTAATAGGACTCCTAGCATCTCCTTATCACCATCCCTACAGTTTGATGGCAATATCCAGGAATGCAGGGGTCTTCTTAATCAGGTGGAGTACCATTTTGAGGCCTCACCAGGGTCATTCCCCACGGACAGAGCAAGAATTGGTTATCTAATGAATCAATTAAAGGGCAAGGCCCTTGCCTGGGCTAATCCGCTGTGGGAGAGTAATCGGAGCATAGCTCATAATTACCAGGAATTCCTTGCCGAATTCAAGCTCACGTTTGAGCCATTGGGTAGAGAGGATGACGCCTCCACTGCCCTAATGCACATCAGACAAGGTAACCGGTCTATCTCGGATTATGCTATTGAATTCCGTACCTTAGCTTCCGAGGTAGAGTGGACTAACAATGGGTTAATCTCAGCATTCAAAAAGGGTCTCTCAGAGACTATACTAGATGAGATAGCCGCTAAAGAATTACCTAAGAGTCTTAACGAATTTATTACGCTTGTCATGCATATTGATAATAGGTTAAGACTCAGAGAAGTCACCAGAAGCAAGACCAGACG